ACAACTTCGTGAAGGAAAAGACTACTGTAGATCTCATGACAGTCTTATCAGGTATGAAATGATGGATGAGATTGAATGAAATTTGCTAGATCGACACGTTCTGGGGTTATTCGATTGACCCTATCGAGGTACGTTGCTCACAACTTCGTGAAGGAAAAGACTACTGTAGATCTCATGACAGTCTTATCAGGTATGAAATGATGGATGAGATTGAATGAACCCTATCGAGGTACGTTGCTCACAACTTCGTGAAGAAAAGACTACTGTAGATCTCTTGACAGTCTTATCAGGTATGAAAGGATGGATGAGATTGAATGGAATTTGCTAGATCGACATGTTCTGGGGTTATTCGATTGACCATATCGAGGTCCGTTGCTCACAACTTCGTCAAAGAAAAGATTGAAAAGAATGACTGCGGATCTCTCATGACAGTCTTATCAGGTATGTATGAAAAACTATCGACGAATAACAAGGTGCACTTGATGAAAAAGTTATTCAACTTGAAAATGACGAAATGTATGTCTGTTGCTTAATACCTGAATGATTTCAATACTATCACAAATTGATTGTCGTCTGTTGAAATTGATTTTGATGATAAAATACGTGCGTTATTTGCATCATTGTCAAATAGCTGAGAAGTCATGAGGTTGACAATTAGCAGTTCTGTAGGTAAATCTAAACTGAAATATTATGATATTCATGATTTGATTTTGGCTGAGGGGGTGCGCAAGAAAGATTCTGGCGAGATCTCAGGTTCGAGTTCGACACTGAATGTTGATTTCAGAGGAAGATAACAGGACATGAACTCAAACAGAGGAATATCAAAATCAAAGTATGGTGAGGAAACAACCTACTGAAATTGTGGCAAGATTGACCACATAAAGAAAAACTGCATAAATCCTAAGAAGATGAAGAATGATAACACAAATGTGGTAATTGAAGAACTACATGATGCACTACTACTGACAGTTCATAAATTATATTGCATGTGACTTTGGAAAAGTATATCTGACAGATGGAGAAGCTTTGAATGTGGTAGGAATTGGAGACATAAACATTGCACTTACAAATAAGAACAAGTGGACTTTGCAAAAGGTTGGGCACGTGCTTGAGTTGAAGAAAAACCTAATTTATGTTGGGTAGCTCAATGGGGGTGGTCATTTAGTAGTATTCTCAGATAACACCTGAAAGGATACCAAAAGAATCTTAGTACTGGCTCAGGATATGAAAACTGACTCACTATGTATGACTAGAGGTTTACTCAAGCGTGGGTACATGAGTCAGATGTGCATTTTGGGGAAACATAAGAAGGTTAGTTTTTTGAAAGGTGGCAGAGCGTCAATGGCAAGAAAACTAAATATTGTACACACTGAATTGTGAGGACCTTCTCCAGTGGCATCTCTTGGAGGCTGTAGTTACTGTAGAAAGGTAAGGTTTGTTGATCTACTAGAGGCCACTGTGCAAGACAGTGTTGGAATTGAATAGGAGAGTGAGTCCGGATCACCCATTCCTATTGTTCCACAGAAAGATGGTGGAGAACCATAGAGTAATGAAGAAATCTTGCAAGATAAAAATTCGAGCAAGTGGGAGCTAACAGAACTTTCACCTGGGAGCTAACAGAACTTTCACCAGGGAAGAAAATATTATAAAACAAGTGGGTGTATCAAGTGAAGACTGAGTTTGATGGCAGTAAAATGCACAAGATTAGATTTGTTGAAAAAAAATTTCAACAGCGGCATGATATTACCCATGTAGTGGGAGTTGCAAGCCGGTACACGAGTAATCCAAGAAATAATCAGGGAAGAAAATATTATAAAACAAGTGGGTGTATCGAGTGAAGACTGAGTTTGATGGCAGTAAAAGGTACAAGATTAGATTTGTTGAAAAAAATTTTCAACAGCGGCAGGATATTACCCATGTAGTGGGAGTTGCAAGCCGGTATACGAGTAATCCAAGAAATAGCTTGGAGGTGCAATACTATGTTGACCCTGCTGATATGTTGACTAATAGTGTTACTCTTGAAAAACTGAAATTATGTGCAGCTTCAGTTGATTTTCTGGTGTGAAGACAGAGGCCTTGAGTTGCAGAGGTGGAGGATATCACGTTTGAAGAAAAGGGCGACACCGCTAGTGAAGGATATCAGTTTGAGGAAGGAAATATTGTTACCAATGTACCAGTCTCCAAGTGGGAGATTTGTTGAGTTTTGGAGCCCGGTTCGCCTTCCCACTCCCGCTCTCGATCGCGAAAAGTCGCGACTCCTCTATGTCGTGAAACTGCCCCCGCCAATTCCAGCTCCCGTTCACGAATCGTTGCGCCTCCCCTCTTCTATTTCTGCGAACCGAACAGTCCCCACCAAAGGAAGTTCTTTTGCTGGTGTAAGTTACTGAAGGGAAGAGAAGTGCAAGCTGTAATTTCTTGCGGCTCCCGCCAATTCCAGCTCCCGTTCACGAATTGTTGCGCCTCCCCTCTTCTATTTCTGCGAATCGAACAGTCCCCACCAAAGGAAGTTCTTTTGTTGGTGTAAGTTACTAAAGGGAAGAGAAGTGCAAGCTGTAATTTCTTGCGGCAGAAGGAAGAAGAAAGAATAAGAAGAAAATTGCTCTTCCTTGACTTCTTCTTGGTGGTTTGTGGCAGAAGAGAAATAGGATTTCTCTTGTGCATGAATTAAGCATGTGGTTCTGTTTTTCATCTTCTTCGGTGTGTATCTCGGTGTAGAGAGAGAGAAGAAGAGAGAGTGAGGAAGTGAGAGATCCCTCTTGTAAGTCGAAACGATCGATTGATGTATATTTATCAAGTAGTAAAATCATCTTCGACTCCGTGGACGTAGGCAATTTGCCGAACCACGTAAATCTGTGTTCCACTGCGTTACTATTTTTTTGTGTGAATTTTTTCGTTTATTTTTTTGCTTCGCCATCGATCGTTCTATTTTATTTTATATACCACAACAACAATTTATAACTCTAATATCAACTTAATGCGGGACATTTTAGGGTTTAGGTTGCTTCATCCAACTAAAATTCTGCAATGCATGCTAACCACTTAAAGAAAATTAGGATCTATGATGCATTGACACTTCGGGTAACTGGGTTGTGTAATATCTGATAGTGTTGGACATGAATCTGCTTTGAAACACGTATCTAATGCATTTCGGATGCAGACATGCGCCGCTGACATGTATCCCACGCATAGAAAAAGCTGGCATGTAAAATTAAAAAAAACAGACATTGTGTCCTACTAACTTAGTAAGAAGACCATAAAAGATGAAGTTTTAAAGTTTATGCTATATTTATTTTATTTTTCTAATGTTGCTTCTCTTGATCATGACTTTTGGTCATTTGCCTCTCTCTTCTATGTGTTCAACATCTTTGGATCGTGCAACCATTGAGCTTTAATAATACTGATATTGTTGTATTCAATGTGTATTTTGCATTCTATTTTCATTGCTTGCTTGTTGCATTTCGTGTGTATTAACCTACAGTCGTATATTTTTTGTTTTCATTTTTTGCTGCACTTGAATCCTTAGAAGAAGTTTTTCGCCTTCATATCTAGCTTAGTTCTTATTTATAGTGGTTTTTTCTGTTAAATATGCTATCAAAAGATTTTTATGCTCAAAGTGGCTTGACTAAAAGTAGGATTTAATTTAATAAGATTTAGTAAGTTATCTAAATTCTAAGATTTGTGCGAGGGAGAAGTAATTATTGAATGAGTTAAATCTTGTGAGTAATGAGATTTAACAAGTCTTACATTCTTAATTAATTAAAAGATTTTGACAAAAACTGAACATGCACTTTCATTTCTTGTTTAGATGATGTATTTCTTTTTAAGTGTACAATAAATGCAGATTCAATCATATGGTTCATTATATATTTTTATATGATAATTGTTCTTATTATTCTTGTTTTTCTTTTGCTTAATTTTTATGCAATATTTTTAATTTTTAAGATATAAAAATTATTATGTCGTGTCCAACATATGTTGATGTCACACATTTTTAATAATAGACATGTTCCCTGTTTGTGCATCATTATTCATTGATAAAAATGTTGATACGGAAAACTCACTTTTTCAGGGGCAAATCAGAAAATGCAATACATAAAACAGAACGGAATGGTGAGACTGAATAATTTTAATGAATATAATGAGAAATTTGAACCACTCAAAATTAATGAGCAATTGAAAATTTTTTGTGGCAATCAGGATGCTAGTTGTGTAATTTTTTGTGGCAATCAGGATGCTAGTTGTGTTAAAACGGAACCAAATCATAACTACGATGCGAATTGTAAATGATTTACAGTAAATTAAGAAAAATAGTTCACCTAACTAGAGATAATCAAGACATTATACAATATGCTTTTCCTGGAATTTGACGGTACATTTTGCCATTCCAAAGACATCAACATGCACAATATTGAACTAGTAAGTAGTAACATAAGTTTTGTTGAATCAAATGATGCTTTATCTTCTTTAGTATTGGTATTTATAAATTTGCTATCAAATACTAAAAGCAAACAAACCCTCGCTCAATGCTTTTATTTATTTGCTCAACGTTTATGTTGGTTGTAAATTTAGTCTACTTCTTGTTATTATAATACTAAACTGGAGCCCAGATGCCTGTATTTCAGATCAGAAAGTTAAGTTTAGAGCATTAAGTTTTGTGAATTGACTTGAGCAGGAATCTCAAATACTTATTATTTTGTGATTGATTTATATGCCTTCCCTTGCTTGTCCAAAGCATGGCTCAAGCATTTTGTAAAGACATACTCATTTGAAATTATTATATTCTATTCTTTGGGCAGCAGTAGTAAATATATTTATTCTATTTATTTCTCCATGTAGAAGCAAACTAAGTTTTCTAAATTGTACTTCCTGTTGAGTTAGATTTTGAGGTTTTGACAAGTAAAATTTCATGTACTTAAGAGAGCAGATTCTGCTGGAGGCTGTCTGTTAATCACTCAACATCTTTTTTCCCGATTAAATAAATTAGAAAAAAATTTATGTAGGCTTCAAAGAACCAAACAATCCGGAAGAGGAAACAGCCTGTTTCATCATCTGGTCCAGCCAATAGTTCAGGAACCGCTAACACAGCTGGTCCGTCTCCAAGCTCAGCACCCTCAACGCCCTCTACTCACACACCTGGAGATGTAATGCCTATGAATTCAAATAAGCCCCTCATGATGTTTAGCTCTGATGCCACGGGAACTCTAACTTCTCCTTCAAATCAACTGGTAATTATTACTGGCTTAGCTGAAATAAATTTAAGTTTAGAAAGTACTTTTGTGTCCTAACTGCTTTGTTTATGCAGTGGGATAACAAAGTACAAGCTGATATGGACCGTTTTGTGGAAGATGGTTCACTGGATGATAATGTTGAATCATTTCTTTCTCATGATGACGCAGATCCTAGAGATGCTGTAGGCCCTTGCATGGATGTAAAAGATGGTATATTTGTAATATTGATAACACTAAAAGTAATACTACTACCACTACTAATAATAATAACAACAACAACAGTGCTGACATTGATGATAGTGACAGCAGCAGTATTATTTATGATACTACATAATATTATTTGTTTGAAACAGTGTGTTTTGTACTTTCAACTACAAAGCTTTCTTTCTGATCAGCTTGTTTGCATTGGCAGGATTCACTTTTAATGAAATTGTATCTACTCGAGCAAGTTCGAACAAGGTTGTCTGCTGTCACTTCTCTTCAGATGGAAAGCTTCTTGCTACAGGTGGTCATGACAAAAAGGTAAGTCGTGTAATTTATACATTTAAATGGTTTTGATTCTGTTGCTCCTTTGTTTCTATTGTCCTTGAAGGCACTTTGTCTTAATCTTTATTCTTATATTGATTCCACATTGCAGGCTGTTCTGTGGTTTACTGATAATTTGAAACCAAAATCAACATTGGAAGAACACTCTTTTCTAATTACTGATGTTAGGTTTAGCCCAAGCATGCCACGATTGGCCACTTCTTCTTTTGACAAAACTGTTAGGGTTTGGGATGCTGATAATGTAAGTTAATTTTATTCTTTTTTTGACGAATATCTTTATGAACACGACACAATTTGATGATGCTTTAACTGTACTCATTTTTGCACAATTTTATCGTACAGTCAACTATTTATTTGCCGAACTTAAAATAATTAATATGAATAAATTTCTCTTTTTCATGCACTATTGTGATCACCATTATCATTATTGGCATTATCTTAATTATTTGGTGTTAGATTTAGTAAGTCCCTCATTTATTTCCATCTATTCATTAATGTATACTGATGTTTTTCTGATAGAAATTTCTTTGATGCCTATAATTTTTCTGTGAGCTCCACCAATAGAGATGAAAGACTGGTTATTCTTAAATCAATTTTTTCTCTTTTGTCCAACAAAGCAACTTAAATTTAATACAAGTTTTTACTAAATTTGTTCTTTCAGAAGTAATGTTGTAAATTGTATCTCTATCCCATATACTCTTTCAACTTGCAATCGATTGGTCATAAAAATACGGTGTGAAATAGTATCTTCCTTGCCTCATTTTACATGGGTTATTCGCTTTTTGTTCTTTATAAATATTTGTACAATTCAAGTTTGTCATCTCATATGACACTCCATAAGAACTAATGAAACTTGATGATTCATAAATTCGACCTCAAAGTCAAGGCTATATTGTGTATGATGATTTTCTTTTTCTATTTTTATTTTGGGAAAGATGATCGGACGGTAATTCCAACTTGGAATAATATATCTCATCTTTTGAGAATCGGTTGCTCTCTCATTGATAGTATCATCATGCATGTGCCAGTTTGAAGAAGATAGTGTTAACATGCATGTTTCATTGTCTGATATGACGACTTTAATTTCAGCCAGGATATTCGCTCCGCAATTTTACGGGACATTCTGCATCTGTTATGTCTCTGGACTTTCATCCCAACAAAGAGGATCTGATATGCTCATGTGATGGAGAAGGGGAAATACGTTATTGGAGCATTAATAATGGTACTTGTGCAAGAGTCTTCAAGGTTATTTTTCTTTGCATTAAATTCATTATTTCATTAACATTTTCGTATGAATCATACTAGATTACAAATTTCCTCGCCTTTATGAAATTTACGCATGCAGTTTATATGTGTTGAACGTTGTTACTGCTTTCATTCTCAGAACATCGATGCCTTGATGATTATTTGAATCTTTTTTGCAGGGCGGTACCACACAAATGAGGTTTCAACCACGTCTAGGTCGATGTCTAGCAGCTGCTGCTGAGAACATTGTGGCCGTTATGGATGTTGAGACGCAAAGTTGCCTTCATTCATTGCAGGTTTGTGAATTTTAACACAGGAGCACATTAAATTTTTGATCATGCAAAATTTGTATTACTCAAAGAATTCTCTAGTCTTTCAGCATAGCAAATATGCATTTCATAAATCTAGCAGATTGATTTGCTTTTATTTGTAGACCGAATTATTTTTATTGCAGGTTTTAGCTTACATTTTTTTGTATTTTCTTGTATCTTCAAGCCCTCTCCAACTTCTGTGTTATAATTACTTGTGCTTTTTTTTTTTTTTTTTATATTATATGTACCCATTTTTTAATTCTTCTTAATGCCTAGAAGGCTGTTTATCATGTTGGATTTTGTGCATGTTCTTCTATTTTGATGTAGAGCAGATAGCGAATTTGTAGGGCCCTTGGGGATTTAGGAAAACATTATTAGGATGATAAATGAAACGAGTGCAATGATTTATCGAGCTGTAGCTATGCATTGAAATAGCTAGACAGCTGAAAATTAAAATATCTTGAAAGGGCATATTATCTAATAAACATCATGGAAATAATGAATGCCAATAAAAACAATTTTTTTCTGATTAATGCAACAAATAGAAATTCTCATCATTCTTGACTGCTTGACCGCAGATAAATTCCACTTTAAAAATGCCTTATTAATGCTTGACAGCAGATAAATTCCACTTTTAAAATGCCTTTCTTTATGCTTTGCATGATTTCTTATTTCTGCAGCTACAATCTTTAGTACGTTTACTTTTCTTCAATCAATTATTGTTTCTACCTTTTGGTTTATGAATATTTCATATTTTGCTAATTTAATGTAAGCTAAACTTATAAGCCTTGTTTAGGGACACTCCAAACACGTTGATTCAATCTGCTGGGATCCCTCTGGAGAGTTATTAGCTTCAGTTAGCGAAGACTCGGTGCGTGTATGGTCACTTGGATCTGGAAGGGAGGGCGAGTGCGTCCATGAATTGAATTCTAGCGGGAATAAGTTCCATTCATGTGTTTTCCACCCTACCTATCCATCTTTGCTTGTCATTGGCTGCTATCAGGTATGCGTTTTGTATGTTTGGTGTTTTAGATGTTTTGCGCTTATGTCTTTCTTGTTTGATGTACTTGAATACAAGTTGATGCTCAAGACTTCATTTCCTTTGGATTTTATGAAATAGATTATGAAATTATCATTTATTTGAAATGGTTATGATTCATACCCTCGGTTATATTTTTACAATATTAGTTAGTATTAGTCTAAACAGATTTGAACAAGGTAGATTTAAGATTTCAATCAATGGTTAATAAGAATGAGTGGACGCCAGAATTTATAGAACTAACACCATATAGTGGGAAATTTTAGTGATGATGATGATAATATGATAGTTTATGATAAATAGAAAGTGATATGATACTGTATGCTAAATTAAAAAAAGTACCTAACTTAAATTATCATAAATGGCTTCCTGTAAAAGTTGAATTCTGCTGACTTTACTGATCACTTGTGTTTGTATGGACTTAAAGTTTAGCTAGCCAGCCTGAAACAAATAGAAGGTTTTTAATTTGGTCAGAGAGGCAATTTTGAAAGTGATAAAAATTAATTTTAAAAAAATATTAATTTCAGGTTGACGTTTAAAATACATCAATTCATACCTTGTAGCAAAATAACAATGTTTTTTTGACATGACTAGCTTTTCTCCTTCATAATTTTAAATTTTCTTTTTCTCCCTGTTCTCTTTCCTAAAGCAAACTTTCAAAATTCTGTAATGGAAGCATCTCTTCCTTAATATTTTTCATTTTATCTTTGTACACTACTTTTTCATGTAAAGTTTACACCTCATGCTTACATTTAATATGAATATAGAAAAACGAAAGTGTAGGTTGTTGTATTATGTGTGTGAAAATATAACAATTCCTATTTATGTATGTGCATATTCATATTACTTGTGTCCTCCTCGATCTTGGAGATAATCGGCTTCAATTTGCTTAAAATTTAATTAAATTTTTGGCTAAAGTTTGAGCCTCTTGGCACCTAATCACGTCGTGAATTTGTAATGCTGCAATACAATTCAAGGTTAGGATTTCTTTATACAACTAATGATGCTCCATATTTTCTCATGCAAGGGAAAGTTGAGGATTTTACATATTTTATTTATTTAAAATCAAGCAAAAACTCACTTTTTTTTAATAAAAATAAGCTGTTGTAATCTTCAAGCCCATTTGATAGTGAAATGACCACATATTCCAGATTTTCTGGATGAGCTTAACAAATAACTGATAGTAAAATGACGTAATTTTTTAGAAATCAATTTTGAAAAAAATCAAGGCACTAAACTAAACCAATAACAAATTAGTTTAGAAAAGAAGGACGAGAATGAATTTACCGAACTAGTGATGCGTCTAAATCAAGCTACAAGTGCCCCACGCCCAAACATTATTTTCTATTTGTTCCCTTTTATTAAGTAATTTCAAAGTCATCTCCAAACAGTAAGCCCAGTCAGAACCTTTAATCTCTCATTGTGAGGGAGAAAATTATAGGAAAATTTACATATACAGCGGACAATTCTTTCTAAACTTTTTTTATGTACATGCATAGCATTTCGGTGCTTTAAAACTATGAATGAAAATGTCTATTTCACATTTAAAAAATGAGAATAATTCTATTTCTGCTGTGTGTAAATATGAAAGTTTAGATTGCGAGATAATGTAAATATATAAGAATTGTTTGCTATGTATGTAAATGCCCGAAAGTTAAATTGGATATGATGGCATTCTTAGCATGCTAAATTTCTATACTAAACCTGGGTTCAATCATGCAGTCTCTGGAACTATGGGATATGGCTGAGAACAAGAGGGTGAGACTCGCAGGCCATGACGGACTGATTGCTGCTCTTGCTGCATCAAATGCCAATGGATTGGTAGCTTCAGTCAGCCATGATAAGTTTGTTAAACTATGGAAATAGCTTCAAAATCACTTCAAAAAAATTTTGCTCCTCCATAGCATAATATTCTTTTTTACCTCCCATGAATTTTCATCAGAAACAGCAGCTCTCTTGCAGTGGAATATGTTATCATCATTTATATCACTACTGTTGCTTTTGATGCCTTGAGCGTATTAAATGACTAATGATACTGTTGTTCTCACTGCATCAAAGCAAAATTTTGTATATACTGTATCTCGTATGCTTATTTTTTGTGGTTTCCAGCCATGTTCATGTATTCCCATGTGTTTTTAACATTTTATATGCTGCTACGGTTGCAGGCTTTTCCAATTCGATCGCTTGTGCCTTTTATCACCAAAGTTTCATGATTTTCAATTTTATATGGTTTTCAAAAAATTTCAGAACATTTTACACATCTAACGCTTAAATTTTAAATTTTAGATGCATCGTACCTTAACCTTTTGCTTGCATGAAAGGATATATTTGATTTTTTATAAAGTTAAAATGGTGATTTTTTATGAGATTTAAAAGATTTCAGTGGTAAAAATTTGAAAAGGTAAAATTTTGGTGTTAGATTTGTAAATACCCAAGGGATTCAGTGCGACGTATTTGAATTCCCCAATGTCGGTTTAGCATCATTTTGACTTGCAAAATTTTATTTTTCAACTGATATTTTAGTAAGTTTTGTTAAGGGGAAGTCAATGTTCAGTGCTTCACAGGTCGAAAACGGCACGTCCAAAGGCACTCTGAGGGGACTTGTAACGTACATATAATCATGCGATTTACCTTTACATTTATACCATCAAAATTTTTCATATCACATCAAATAAAATTCACTATTCTAACTCTTAAAAAAAAATAAAGGAAAAATGAATTTTACACGGCCTATACGTAAAAATTGTAGTCTAGGTGTTAGAAATGTAAATTCATTGTTGATGAACCTTCCACACTGATCACTATTCTAACTCTTAAAAAAAAATAAAGGAAAAGTGAATTTTACACTGCCTATACGTAAAAGTTGTAGTTTAGGTGTTAGAAATGTAAATTCATTGTTGATTTATCCCCATAGATGATGAACCTTCCACACTGCACATCTGCATAAAATGTTACACATTAATGACTAATATTTTCAAAAAAAAAAGGGGGCAGTTACAGACATTCCCCACAATTCTTACATAATTACATATCCAACACTTAATACATGATTACTATTCTTTCCAAACTCAAGCTGATCTCTTTATACAACCTTAAATTTCCATCCCACACATAAAATTTGGCACTAGAGTTGAGGCAAAATCAATCAAAATATTACGCTCACAACTTAATGATGCCTTAAAGTGAAACCAAACATATCACCAAACAACCTTCTCACAAGTAAATCATTAGAATATCATTTAAAATAGTCGAATATTGACACCAAAGAACCAAATAACAATCAACGCTATTGACATTCAAGCCGCAATAAATACAATAGAAATACTAACACCAAATAATAATAATAATAAGGGTAAGAAATCAAACTTCCCATATGAGATGTACAGCTCAGTAGAAATATAAAGTACTGTACGTGGTAGATGGCATTGAGTTGGTTCAATTCCATGTTCCTCAAATGGCCAAAGCAAGAAGCAGGCTTCGGATAAATCTAGCACTGACCCGAACTGGACAATCCAAATAAGCTCACTGATTTTTAAGCAACCGAGATTGTTAACTCCACATCTATTAAAAAATAGGACCAAAAATACTGCCAGAATCTAGGAAGCATGCGCAAAAACAACATATGGATGTATGTTTTAACGGAGCTATTCTTAGTTGGCAAGAAGAATAAGGCTAAGAAATAATAAAACCTCACCTGATCTTGCTCATTAAATAGTCCAATCTTTGCACTGTAATGATGATCTTAAGTCTGCTTCTTGGACTGTTCTCCCAACATGGGATGGAACTAATAATCCCTGCAATAATTAAAACATAGTTACAACACACATGCCACAATACGAATGTGAGACTAAATCGAGAAGCGTACAACCCGAAAATAACATAATAGATTTCAAACAACAAAAGAAATGTCATATTCATAATCATACCTGGAAATTTTTATGCTTCTCAACCAAAGCATCACCGTGAGAATAAAAGCAACCATTGCTAAGCAAAGGTGCTCCAAGGAGTGACCGCTGATAATATATCTATCTATGCTATATACTTTCATGTCAGCAACAGACTCGAACCTTGAAAGAAGGTAAAACCCTGTATGAAATGATTAAAACTCAATAGAATTTCGAGAAACGAGCAGGAAGTAAAAAACATATAGTTATTTGGGTTTTAAAAGGGAAATGCCCATTTTAAGGCAAGGAAAACTCATCAAAGTACTATAATGATTAGATACATAAAAGTACTAAAGGTTTATTTAATAGTCGAGCATCATCATACAAGACATTCATTTCAAAACAGAGTTTAAAATGGTAAAAAAAAAAAAAAAAAAAACTCAGCCATTTTTATGATATTTTATATTTAAGCCACACTGGAAACTCAGCCATTTAAACTCACCTACCACTCCCTGGAGACTCTCAGCATTTTTATTTTATTTTAATTTAAAGAGAGCTTTGAAGGATCAAATTTTCAGAAGGCAAATTGAATTGCAAATAAGACACTACCCAGAGATTTCGGCCTCATCTAGCGAGAACTTTTGGATCTGAGGTTCGAGGTTTCTCATAGGCGCACAAGCCCCTACGGTTAGTTACCCCTTCCAACAACGGGAGGGCACTTTCAATTAAGGCTAGTCATTAATATTTGAATATTCAATCTATAATAGCAACAAACTTAGGATTTAAGTTATAAAATTTGTCACTCGAAGCTAAAAATGGATGGTGGGGAAATGAAGACAAAACTCGATCAAGATCCCATAGTTTCGTCATCCCATGTCATCATGGTCCTTGATCTACTTAGTTAGAGAAGGTAGTCGACCCAACATGACAAAAAAAATTCTTGTCAACAGCCATGAATTGCGTCATCAAAGAGATCCTTGTAGATTTGGGGTAAATATTTATTTAAAGAGACAAATTTAAGTCGACATTAGCTTACGGAAGGCTTTGTGTCAATCAATGATGTCTTTATGATTCACAACTCAAATGATAGAAAGTCATTGGGGAGCATACGGGCTACGACCGTGACTGTACTATAATGGTGTCATTTGGCGACTACCACCTGGCCAGATGGCTCGAGTTTTAATCCTATTTTGTGGAGTTATTTAGCGGCAGAACCACACGAACAAAAAAACAGAAGACTTGGGTCATGTTGTTGCTGACATGCGATTGCTTTGATTGTGAATATAGAGGTGCATTTGAAATGACATTAACTCTTTATAAGCTGAAGTCAATCAAAAGTTTGTCACCCTCGACAAACTGCTTGAGAAGATGGATGAGGTTTGCTTTAAGTTTTTAAGTGATTTAATTTTAAACTTAAATATTTTAGTTGATTACTTTGAAAATCTTAATTTAAAACTTTTATACTTGAAGGGCGCATTTAGTTTTGTTAATTTATCAGAATATCAATCATGTCCTTACAAAGAGTAGGATTGGATGAGGTGATTTGGACTTGTAAATTCTTTCTTTAAGATTTGAATATTTATTTTGAAATTACTAAACTCGTCAATTCCAATCCTTATGAGAAGAAGGATCAAACTAGTTGGGTAGAACTTACAACCTTGTCTTAAAAACAAGATGACACGTTTAACCCATGCAACATGCTCGAACTTATTATTTGAGCATTCAATATATTAGTTGGAGCACATGTGGGTTGCGTTTAATTTCATATATATGACTATTTTAGAGAACTACATATTTTAAGGCAATTTGCATAATTTTAAAGAATGGATTGAATCACATGTAAGACTTAAATCTATATAAATTTGCCTTATTGAATAAATAAATTGATGCATGTAGGAGTTTACTTTAAGCTTTGTAAAATATTGTCTTCAGTTTGCTTGTAAATATGTTGTGAATCAGGTGGCGGATTTGACGTATTAGATCTTTATTTTATCATTTAAAAATGGCATTTAAGTCTTAAAGACTAGCCTCAAATTATGATATTTTACATTTAATTGTCAACTCCTCAGCTTCGACCCAAGCAAGCTTAGCCTCAATTTATTATGTTACATATTCAAGTCAAGTTCAGCCCCCAAATTATGATATTTTATATTTAAGCCAAGTTCAAGCCTCAATTTATAGAATTTGTTATTCAATTTAAGTTTAGTCATTCTAATTCTTTCACAATTTAAGTCATTTAAAAATTTTAAAAATTCAAATATTCAAAATCATTTGCAAGTCATGATAATCCAATTTCAAATATTATTATTATTATTATTATTATTATTATTATTATTATTATTATTATTATTATTATTATTATTATTATTATTATTATTATTATTATTATTATTATTATTATTATTATTATTATTATTATTATTATTATTATTATTATTATTATTATTATTATTATTATTATTACTACTTTAGCAAGTTTAAAAATTCAAATAATTAAATTTTAGGTCATTTTATGAGTTTACAAAGTCCAAATCTTAAATTATTTTACAAGCCTAAACTCACCTGAAATTTCGACAGCCTCTCGTTGTCAACCCACATTTGGGGGCATGGAAAAATGTCAGTCTTCCCAATTGTCATAAAAGAAGAAATGGTCAGTTTCGTGAGACACTGTGGCCGAAGAGCAAAAATATGAATTTAACCCGCGATTTTAAAAGATGTAACGGACTTTCTATCACAAACCAGTATTTCTCAAACGGTACTTAATTCCCACATATGGGTACTCATTTTTTTTCATGGACAGGTACTCATTTTTCTCACGGATAGGTGTTTTAAAATCTCAATTTTAAAAAAATTTTGAAACGAGTTCTCGATTTTCCCCGAACAGTACTTAATTCCCCACGAACGGGTGCTCGCACTTCCTCGAGCGGACATTTTGACAATTACCCCATTGCCCCAAAATTATACATTTCAAGCTTCGATGTCGTCAGTGCGACAACCTGTATATCAACAAGGTAGATGATTCTCATAAGCAAATCCCAAACCTTTTTACACATTTTTGAGCTTCAATCCGAAGTCGTCCACATAATTTTCAAAAATCCCCTTGTGTTCCTCATTAGCATAAGCATACTAATTGTAGAAGTCGCTGGTAATTACACTTGCTTCCTTGAAAACAACACTATGCAAAAGTCTTTTTACCCTCTCTAGAACAAAATTCACTGAAGTTCCTTCCTCGATTTCAACTGCCAAATTGTAGAAAATTTTCGAGTGGGAAGATTTCTTTCAACAATGCTATGCAAATAGCCAGAAGAATTGGAGCGCTGAAGGAAACAAGGGCAACTCGACCCGGTTCAATATAAAATGCATTGGAGAATATGGTTGCTCTCTAAAGAGCCATCCAAATAAGAAACCACAAGCTTAGCAATAGAACTAATAGAACCTTCCACTAAACTTCTCATATCGGGACTCAAAGTTATCCTATTCGTTGCGATAACCAATTGGAAAGCTCTCAAACAACTAGCAGAAATCATGGAAATGGCAAACGGAGCATAGCCCTTCGCCTCCCAATTTGCAGCAGAAAGCTCTCCACAAACAACATCTACTTTCCCCAAAGATCACTAGCAGAAATCATGGAAATGGCAAACGGAGCATAGTTAAGAGCTCTTATGTTTGCAGCAGAAAGCTCTCCACAAACAACATCTACTTTCCCCAAAGATCACAAATAAATAAAATTCGTCACCAACCACTCCAATAAACTAAGAAGCACCAATCCATTGTAGACTGAAGCGGCAGACGAGTGGCTTCAAACAGGAGAAAGGGAGGAGGATAAAGATGAGAGTTCAGATATCTTTGCATATCGTGTCCTGCGATTTCTAGTTGTGACTATAGCAACAAGGCGGGCAAGGGCTTCGATGAGGCAGTGAACCGAGAAAAACGAGATTATGGTGTTTTTGTGTGCAGTGATTCCTTCCGGCACTGCTTTCTTAGCAGCCTTAGTTGAGACCGTGTCGGCGTGAAAAAGAGCGCGGGCAGGGAAGTCGGAAATTTCGCGAGTCTCTGTATGTGGCGATTCTGTTGTGCCTTCCCACCCAGCCCAAGCGATCCCATCGTTGCTTTCCTTGTTAGACTTATGATCACGAATCATGAAGGTAAAGAAAGTTCAAGCGGGCTTCCGGTTGGAGATAGAACAGTGTCGGGAGGGGCTTGTGGCAAAGGCAGAGAGAAACACCGAGCGACGAAAGATTAGGACAGAGAAACTTGGTGACTCCATGCGGGCTCAAGCATAAAATCGCACAGGGGAGGCGTTCGAGAGGCATGACAGTGAGACCAAGGAAGAAGTGAGGAGATTCATCTTTTGGCTCGCACAGGAATGGGAAGGTGGACAAGAACCGTAAGGAAGGGAGGCGGGGATTTTGCTCTGCTGGGATCGAGAGGCAGAAGACCAAGCGTGCGAATCAGAGGGGTTCGCAGGTTACGCCCTCATTCGAAGGCTGGAGCGGGCTTTTTGTGGGAGTTGGAGTAGTTAAAGATTTTAATTCAATTAATTATTTCTCTTTTTTTATTTCATTTTAAACCACAACACTTTATAATTATTTTCCCCTCATATTCAATGAAACAATTATTTAACTGCACAACAAATTGTTCCACATTTCTTTCCCACTCTCTCTCTCTATCTATCAAGTTGAGTACATACAAATGAAAAACAAAATATTACATAAGGAGTGTTGATGCAAAACTGCATCAAGACTCTAATCATAATGCGCCATGCGTACGGTTCGACCCTACCATTCATTAAATTATTTAGTTTTTTATATTAAGTGAGGCAGGACCGTATATGTGGCGCATTATGATTGAAGCTTTGATGGCATGAGGACTTCTGATGTAATATTTTTTTACATACAATGGTCTTGACTTGCATATTTTAAAAAATTTCTCTCCAAAAACCATCTCTCCATCAAAAACACCTATCCCACCCTCTAAAATGCTCTTAACCAGGCCAATCAAAGATGAAGATTGATTTAAGTGCAATTCCATGTAGAGAGAGATTCCAACATTAAGGCAACAATCAAAGTCAAAAGGAGATCAAACCAGTAAGCCTAGTTTAGTGAAACATAAGAGCCAAGTTGAACCACTTAGAACAGCCAACCAAGCAAAAGGTAAATTAAGAGTAACTAACCTAGCCAAGTGATTTAAGCCTGACTGGGG